GAAAATTGGCTGCAGAAAATATATACTATCTGAAGTTGGCCAAAAGTGTAGGCGACACAATCCAATAAATTTTTAGACTTTCAACATGCAACCCCAAATGATTTAACACTGCTTCTTCTAAGAGTGTATATAACTCAGCTTGCACCCTATTTGTTCTCCAAATGCAATGCCATTCTTTATCTATCTCTGCTTGGTAAGTAACATAATACAAATACTATAAGTTATCACACATATCACCAAAATTATATACTGTTATTGAGCGAACGCATGACATGCGACCATAATGGAAAGGAGTCCCCGAAGTGCTGGTGTGAAAATGTAAGCGAGGGCATGAGCTTCGCTTCAAACCCTTGCTCTGACACTTGCTCGCTGTCGAGTGTAGATGGGTTACTCAGCTTTGCTGCGGTTCAGGTTCGTCATGTCTACACTGAGGACACAAACAGGATCCAGTGCACAGGGTTTTGTGAGCGTGAACGAAACAATACGTGCAAACACTTTGAGGGTGTCGAGCGTACGCTCACGAGGGCTAAACGATGTCAGTCCAGTCCTTTTACCCTGAAATGTCTAAAAATTTAAGTCCAAAAGTTTAAGAGATTTAACCAAAATTTACAAGAGTGGCAAACCTGGGTGAAACTCAGTCCCTTAATTCCTAGAAACAGACATGCGGCGTGTGCGGTTAGAAGACAGGGGACTGGTCTGCACTTTTCCTCCCCCAAAGTACCCTGCGTCCAGCACTGACGGAACATACGGATTCCCTGCGTGTGCCCGAGACCTTACGGCTTCCCGTTCCTCTCTGTCTTGTCCTCGTTCGCCCAGCTTCACCTGTTGAAATCTCCTACAGGAGTTTTCCTTCTCCACAGCCATCTCCGCTCAAACTCAACATCTCAAACAGTCCAGGTGTGTGAGTGTGTGTTTGGATGCATGTTGGGGTTGAAAATATTCAAAATGATGCCATTTAAAATTAGTATTTGTTGAAATAGTATAGTTGAATAGTATGTTGAATACTAAAATTAATAAAATTTTAAGAGATTAGGCATATAAAACTGTAATAGGTACATATTAATAAAACTCCAAATCATAAGAAAAGTAGCTTGGACTTTGGAAAATCCAAATTTGAAATAAAAAGAAAATGCCAATTAAAATAATCTTTTGAATCTAACCAGTCGAATAACCGCACGGAGCCCTTTTGATATGTCCTGTGTCACTGTTTACTGTGCCTATGTTACGTACCACGCTGGGCAGACAATTTACGGTTTGTCTAAGGCAGACAAATCCTCTGAGTTTGGATTTACCAACTGCAAAACAAATGCTTTCCACAATTCTACAGTCTTTTCCAATGCTCTTAGGCTTCAGTTCCGTAAGTCCTCCTAATGTTTAGGATTGCATTATACATAGATTCACACACACACACATATATATACACACACATATTCCAAAGATTTTATATACACATATGTATTTAAAATAAAATCTGTGGAAAATGATCTATTCATAGCCTATACTCACAACTATGAATCTCATATTTTCCTGCCCGTATCAATTATCAGGGGCCTTTAAAAATCAGCTGACATGTTACTATCCTTTGAATGAAGTTGATGTACCTTCCAAATAATACTTCTTTATTTGTGGTTGAGCAAGAAAATGAAAAAAAAAGGGGGAGGGAAGCACAGGAGGAGACCCATTAAAGGGACCTAAATGTACTAAAAGTACTTTGCCACTTCAAACTGATGAGGTAGAAAAGCGAAATCTGTACAGTTAAGTTACTGACTGAGAGGTACACTTACGGACTTCAGGTCAGAATCCAAGGTTTTAAAACATGCAGATTATCTGTTTTTCTTGACTGTATACTTGGACCAATTTGCATACATTTGTTACTGAATACAGTGGGGGAATACAGGAGAACTTTATTCATACTTTATAAAGGAAATCTGTTTTTATTAGTTTTAGTACACTTCAAGTAGATTTAAAGGATTCACTCTGCTCTTAACAGCGAAAACATACTAGGATGCCCATTTGACCGCAAGTCTTGGAAGTCGGAAAGATTAAGAAATATTTCACTGTTGGTAGTTTCTTACTCACTTTTTCTAGAACAGAGATGGCAGTAAATAGAGTTTCCTGCCCTGCACAGTCTACCCAAGGCAGGCTTCCAATGTAAACGACAGGTGAAAGATTAGAAATGACAGTGAGCTCAGTTTTCCATGACCCTCGGCCTTTGGCACCGTGTGGAAACGACATTCAGAATTCCCCGTACTGCTTCTCCACGGCAGCCAGCAACGCCACACTTGCTTCGCCCCGATCTGCCAGAGCGGGATTAGTTTAAATTCTTCTCGCCTCTCTCTCTACGCACAATTGAACACAAATTATTTTTATCCCCTGATGATACGACTTTTTAAAAAGTTACCTTCTTGATATGTTAATATAAACACTGTCCAGATAATCCGAGTAACACGGAGCATAATTATTGTTTATTCACAAGAGATCCGCTTCTCACACGTGTCACCTTCCTACTTGTGTGCACTGAGTTCCTTTGCAGGCCGTGGGACATTATGGCAAATTGACACTACATCAAAAATACCTTTCATTCAGAAGCGGATCTAAAACAGGAAATCTCACTGAACAGAAAATCTTGTTAAAAGTCTGGGATGTATTAGAATTACGCACTTACTATGACCTATTTCTCAAATGCTGATCTTAACAGCCTCCAGTGGAAAGAATGACACATGGATGTTGAATCTGGTAGGATTAATTTCACACCTGAAGTGATTTTCAGAGAAAAGTGTGTCTTCCCATTCAATTGTGTCTTCAATTTAATTGTGAAAATGGATCCATTTACAGTAGGAATAAGGGAGGTACAGACACCAAAGAACCTCAGTAAAAAGAAAACCATGACTAGCTTTCGATGATTCAGGGGCTGACTAGGATATTCAGGGTGGTGCTGAAAGTGCCTCTGTGGGCCGCGTTACAGCGCGGACGGGGAGATGAGGGTGTGGGCGGCGGAAAGAACGAAACCCCGAGGCTGGCCCGGGACTGGGGTGGGGCGTAGAAAACAGGACTCTCGGGAGGCAGCTCAGCATCTCTCCCCACCAGCGGGTGGCATTCTGTACACAGCCTAACGTTTGAGCACGGATTTGGCATTAATTTTCAAATCAATTAATTTTTGATAAACTAATTGTATTACTAAAGGCAATGCTATAATGTATTATTTTACTTAAATTTTTTTATCTTAAATTATATTTAATGTGTTGAGACCAATATAAGGGGAGCAACTGAAGGTCACAAGTTGTATTTGTAATGAAAATACTCATTATGAGATGGTAACTTGAAATTAGAAGTCTACATGTTCATGAAAATACACAGATTATATTAAATAAATTTCATACTACCGACATATTTTTTCCTATCCACATATCCATTCTTCACATTTTTCGGGGAACAAAAGGCAAAAACTCATTCTACATTCATAAAGGCACCCAATAATAGTTCTTACATTCCGAGGGTCGAACAGCCATAAAATGTATGATAACTGTTGATGACCGTGCTCTGCGAAACAGGTTTGACTTACAGAAACATCTATTCCCCACACTTCCTTCTTATATATAATAATAACACCATTCAAATGACCATAAATAATCTTAAGAAAAGTCAAATTATATATCATAATGCATATCAGATTAAATGTATTCCGTTATTTTATTATATATCAAATCAATAAACATAAAAATTTAAAGACTTCATCTGATCAAAAGAAATTTTTGTTTGTGAAGTTAATCCACAGGAAACTCTCCCCCCATGCATACACGCTATAAAGGAGGTAGACATGTTTATTTAAAAGGATTAGTAATAATTGAACAGTTTCACATCTGATTAAACCACCTTATCACTTACTATTATATCATTGATCAGTTTGTTGCTGTAAAAAAAAATCTAAAACACACATTTGAGACACCAAGATTTATAGAAGGCATTGCTTTAGGTTTCTTCTATACGATGAGCACATAGGAAAGAAGTATCTAGCTGTTGCTATTAAAACGAATGGAAATCTATAGAAAACCATTACTTACTATAATACATGAGGCTAAAGGGAAAAAAATTAATGACAATATAATTACTATTAGGTATTGTATAAAAGCAAACTTTATATTTAATGACAACATCTATTGCAAAACATTTTAATAGAGAGGGATGAACGTAAAACTATAAATGAACTTTCATCACTTACCTCTCTTAACACTTCTGCTCGTACTGGTGGACTTATCTGAGGGACACGGGCAATGCCCTTCGCATCTGACCAAGACCTGCTTTCCCAAGACACATGCCTGATACTCCAGTTTGCACTGTATAAAAGAGAGAGAGAGAAAGTAAATCAAAGGCATTTAGTTATTTCAGGAGAAAGTCAAGAAATATTTAGACAGAAAGCTAAGTTATTATGCATATAATTTGAACAATCTTCCGCTAGATATTGTATCTCCAATACCGAGGAACAATCTTACTCATTCGTGGGCAGTGTCACTGCTCCGTATAGGAAGCAGGGACACAGCTGCCTTGGTTGTCACTTAGGTGAGCAGTTATCGAGAAATGTAAGTCTTAAAACTTGTTTTTAATTTATCAGCTCTGAGACATGAACTGAGGAGAGAATTTTAGAGTTAGATGGACAGAGAGGTGATGTCGAGTTTGATTATTCATTTCTTGACCCTCCTTTTACATATATTCTTGATTTTTAGTTGCTTGAGGAAGCATGCCTAATCTCTCTTACTGAACTCTAAGTTCTGGCTACAGAGACCTTACACGAGGGTCTTCAGCCAGTGACCCGCGCAGCGCCCGGCGGCCTGTCTCACGGCGCACAGGCAAACTGTACAATGTGAGTTTACGAAACACTTCTGTGGTTACTTGTAGTTTCCCACAATAGCCCAAATGCACACACGGAGCAAACATGCATCTTTATGTATAAAATAAATAAACGCAATATTTACACATAACCTTTATATAAGATACTATATGTGTGTATGCCTTTCATATGTATTTGTGGTATGATAATCTTTTTAGTGCCTGTCTAATCCTCTCATGCAAATGATTTTTCACCTGAGTTCCCCATAGGTCCTATGTGGGGAAACTGTGCATTCCTAATACAGTAACACCACAGGAGGTGTCTACAAGTCCCTGAGATTATTTGTTTTCCTAAAAAGGGCACAGCATGCCTCTCCTCGGTGCTGGTGTGGCCACAGGATTAGAAGCAGTTAAGGGAGTGACAATAGTGCACTTGTGATTCTATGACACCTGCTATGGAGAAAGACAAATGATATAGACCAAAGAGAGTTATTACCTGAGTTTGAATCTAACTAGCGCCACCTCCTAAAAGTGACATATCAGGCTAGCTTGCCAAATGTTCTTAGCCTCAATTTTCCTATAAAATAATTGGGATAATAACTCCTAATCTATAGAGATGTAAGAATCAAATAGCCAGTTTTTCCCAGTGCAGTAGCTATCATGAACTAGGCTCTCAGTAACTGTGGATAAAAGCTAAATGTAATTAAATCAAAAATATTATGGCACATGAGTTTTATATTTGTTTATTCTTTAGTTTTAGTTTGGTTTGGCTTGATTTTCTTTGTAAACATTAATTGTTGTAGAATTTTAAGGCTGAATTTAATTTATTTTTAAGATAATATTTTATTATGACATGATTAAAAAATTATAAACCTATTCCATGTTTTAAGAGTCAATAATTATCTTGCTACTCTAAAAGAAATTGGTCTTGCTAATTCTAAAGTAATATGATTTCTTTAGTCGCTACTTCCATGATTTACTCAGAGCAAATTATTTTAAAAGTAAATAGGGTAGACTTTCTGGCTCCAGCTGACAAATGCACCAGTGACTAATTTAATTCAGCTTCAGCTGATACCAAGAACTAAATGCACCCAGTGACTAATCAGATTATTCAAATCTCTACAACAGTTTATTTTTCATTGTCAAATGAGACTTTAATGGACAGGCAAAATCCTAACTAGCCCTGCAACAAATCATTAAAAATCATGGAACACTTTGAGCTTGTTTGTAGTACCATGTTGGCTCTTTTGGAGGAAAAAAACTCTTTCAAAAGTGTCATTATTTTTCACTATTC